TATTCGTCTACTCACTCTCTCTCTCATCAGTCAGCAGTCCCCAGAGTTTGTTGATTCGCAAAACTTCTTGATAGCAGTTCACTGAATCCTTGTTCAATGCCTACAACATCATATTGTTCTATTATTACCCGGGAACAATTGGTAATCAATCTAAACACATCGAATTTGCATTGTATATATATATATATATATTTAAAATGAAAAATGCGTCGTGTAAGTAGCGAATGACGAATGAACTGGAAAACTAGGAAGCACTGAACAGTTGTTTTGATCAGGTTGGATCCAATCAGCAGTGTCACTTCATCGATCCAACTGGGCATCCAAGACCTCACTAGCGGAACGCAAGCATGCTACCCACCCGGCCAGCGAGCAGCTGATCAGGCCGTTTTTCATTTCCAAACCACACGATCTAGCACAGCCCATCTTTGTGAGCTTATTGCAGGCCGCGGACCTCGCTCATCTCAGCACTAGCCTCCGAGATGATGACCAGGTTGGAAACATTCACAATCTGGCTACTGGCTTCATGTGAGTAATGGAGGATTTGATTCAGTTTCAGACCCAACATGGTCCAAAATGCTGTCCAATGCTTCCTAGATTTTCAAGTCACGCTTCATTCGCTAAAGCCACGACGAATTTCTCCTTTGAAATTCAATCAAATCCTCCATTAGTCACATCTACATATATATATATACATATATATATATATATATATATATATATAATGTGAGAATGATTCTGTCGTTATGTTGAACCATGCCATTTGGTTAGACTGCAACAAACAGATCACAAATGAAGTTTGATCATCACCGTGTTCATTTAGAAAGAGCATATCCCTTCAAGTGGCACATCAGGCATAGATTATGAAACGATTATTGACCAATCGCCAAACTGGTCGTTAAAATGTGCCAAGCCATATTGAAGGGTAAGAAATTGTCGGCGATATATTTGTACATGTAATGCTCGATCTGGAGTGAGACCAGAGTCTTCATGTCTAGATATGCTGCGGGCTTGCCTATCGGGATCATCTGTGCTGTGGATCGAACCTGAAAACTCTGAGTTTAGAAAGTGTTTTAGTGCGATAAATATAATCACAACAGTTTTAATGACCGATGTTGATGCTGGTCAGTCTGAATCTGTTGAATACCATACCTTTTACTTGTGATGAAATGCAAGCATACCGACAAATAGCGATTTTTTGTTAAGAACGAATTCTAGATAGATTCACGCTCAATGTCCATCACAACTCTTGTTTATCAAGTGAAAAAGCGGGTATACACTGAAATGTTTTGCGTAGTTGCTAGTTGTATGGAAAATGTTCTATCATTGAATATAGTGCTTTTTTGAATGCAATATTCGCGTATAGTTTTAGGACTGTCTTTTTGCAAGTATAAATCGGTGAATAATGTGACTCACCTCAAAACAATAAAGTATGAAGTGAATACTAGTAGGTTGATAGTTTTTAGTGGTGCTATCGCTGCCCTATTGGGGTATGCGTCACAAACCGCTTACATTTGGCCGATTGCTCACTGTGTTACTAAGGGGCACAGGGACCTGGCGAACCATGGTTTTCCTTGATTACATAGCTGTAAGTAGGATCATTGTAGGTTTTCAAAAAATTCAAGCTTATGTCACCCTTGATAATAATGGAGGAATAATGAAAGAATGTTACTTATTTCAGGGGCCAGCTGGCGATTGTGCTAACAGGCTACACATCTCAACAATAATGGGTTTCTCCTGTAGATTTGCAGGTTATTAGGAAAAACGCATTTGTTCAATATCGAACTTTATTTGCCTGCGGGTTTTCTACGCAAACGAATTCCGACAGCCTAAAAATCAAAAGCCTGCACTCTACCCGTATTCCACCCACGTTTTACAATAGTTACCGCGGAATAGTTTAGCTAAGTTACTGTATCACAACGTCAGTAAAGGGTTTGGATTTTGTTGAGCAGTAACAGTTTCACACATTTTGTCCCATCTAAATGTCGGAGAAAGATGGGGAAATTAAATTATGCTGCTTCAGTTTTAAAGAGATGAAATGTGATACAGGTGTAATACGGGCGTTGGTGGGTCATTCTTACATCCCTTCGAATTTCGTCACCGCCGCCTAATATGCTTCGCTCTCTTTCTCTCTCTCTCTATTTATTACTTAGCAACCCTTGCATTGGTCACTTAACCGTTCCCCAGACTTGCAATTACAGTTCCTGGAAACGCCATTGTGTTTATTAACTTTGAACTTATTAGGCCGCTGAATTTCAAAGCACGTTGCTAGCAAAAACTGAGTGTACTTTTATGTTCGGTAGAACACGATATCAAGTAATTTCACTAAATTTAGCGCGTGTTTCACAGTGGCACACCTTCCAGCCCAGTCATCGGAATTTGGCGTTTATCTTGCAACTGCGAAATACGATGCATATTTTATCCATCAATCTTCACGAACGAGAAAACGCATTCAATTTACCTCTTACAATTAATACTAAAAGCTTCAGATGCGGAGCTGCGGTTCGTTTTCGCCAAGGTTCCATGCAAATTCAAAATAAAGTTCGGCAGTCGGCAGTCATGTTGTTCTTCATTCACAAACAATTTTGGTCAAAATGTGTTGTGCTTGCTTAGTTGCTAAACCGATTGATGAAATGGATTGCGGCATGTGAAGCAATCATGCCGCTTACCAGCGAAAAACTGTGGAATCCTTTGTAACGCTTATTCGCTGAGTTCATTGACAATCGAACAGGGACTTGGTAGTTTAATATGTTTAATGTATTGCGAGGTTTTCACCTGGTCTCCACGTCCCACCAATGCAATAAAGTGCTCACCTATCAATGTAGTATCGTTGTCAGTTTGGATAGTAGTAAAGGTATGCGTCTTACGGGTATAGTCAATCAACTGAGAACAACAATGGCATTGATAACAAGCTCGTTTTCAGTTGTCCGTAATCATTTCATTAAATAATATTGAACATGGCTAACAAGAAGAAACAATGAAGTGAGTATTTCCACTCCTAACGTTTCAATGGTTCAGATCTGGCCCCATGCATGTGCGTGAGTGTTCGTGTAAAATTGATCACAGTGTCAAAAGTTCAAGTGATTGCACACGTTTTGAGGTGAATGAATTGGGAAAGGGGACCAGTATTCGCTGGCACTAATATATGTATCAGATAATGTACCTTATACAGAAGGTACGTTCATGAAGAATTATGTGTAACAGATGAAATGTGGACAACAGTTGGTTGATTGAAGATTGGAACGTAAACTTTATTATATGAAAAGAAAAGGACAATAGTGTAAAGGTATGCATAAACTGACACAATGATAGCTTCGTCCAGTTATCGATGCAAATGGAAGCAACGTGCAGGAGACAGTATATTCATTTCCATGGTGTTGTCCCTCCTCGAAGAAAATGAATTACAATCAGTGGCCTGGATGACAGACCAAAGAAAATATACACGGCAGACACAGTAGATAGTGAACTTTAATCCTTACGTGTTGTTTTTGCACAGACTGGGTGCACAGATAGATTTATCGATATGACAACGCTAGGACACGACAAAAAGTCAAGTGAAATGGGAGCAGTTAAGAAGTCCATATATGTGTACCTATCGTTCAAGGCAGGCACGGCGACGGAAATGATACAAAGAAGTGCTCAGATACAGTAAGCAGTACATTTCACTATGCACTAGCACAAGTTCTATTCACATCAAATTGATTGTACTGCCAATAAAAGGACTACCGGATTATGTAGCCTCATTATGTGCATACGCAGGCACCTGTTCTCCATGGACTGGGTGCACTGGCGGCACAATCAGGCGCATATCGGATCGTGTTCCACAGCACCACCCGATTTGGGTGCGGACAGGAACAGTTAAGGCAATCACTACCACTGTGATCTTATTTGGTTCCGTTTAATCATTGGGTTTATAAGGCAAGTGCGTTCCGACCGATATACAGGGTTTGATGTAGGAAAGCAAGAGCACTGAAGCCCCATATCGTGGTCACGACCGAAACCGTAAGTATTCGGATTCACAATCCTCTTTTGTGCCCCCCCCCTGAAAAAATTTGTGCAAACGCTTAATCTTCCCTTGATCCACTACATCCACTCTTACACGTGTGAAATCACTTGAACTTTTGACGCTGTGATCAGTTTCATACATGCACACACGTTCGAAGCCAGAGCGCAAACATTAGGATTCGAATTTCTCATTACCTTTTGTTCTTGTTTTTAGTCCTTTTTAATGGTATGATTAGAAATGATTTGAAAACCAGCATGTTGGCCACGTTGTTGTTGTTCTCAAAGTGTTCTGTGGGACTATTGAAAATAACTCAATTGTTCAAATGAACGGAAAAAAATTCAGGATACGCGGATTCTGTAAAAGCAAATTAAAAATTGCCTTTGGAGTATTGTGGAAACAATCAGAATGATTTGTAGATCAGAATAGCTATTGTTGGTTGTACACGGTTCTGTAATCTAATTCCTTTCTCCTTCCTCTTAGTAGGCATGATGTGCAAAATACCCCTAGGGACAGCACGTAAACCTTAAGCTGTGAGGACAACTGGAACGGATGTGGTAAACAGATTCAAAACAGATTTAATAATTGAGGAGAAACTCCACCCAGCCAGCTACCGTCTCATGAAAATAAACAATCGACTTATTTTTCTGCAGAATCGGACCGCCCTAATTTATAGATCTGTTTCATCAAACAGGAATCGCCATTCCAGTTCGGTAATCTAGAATTCGGAAACCAGTTTAGAAAAAAGGCCACCATTCAAACTCCCACGGGACTCACAACTGAGAGTAAGAATTTGTTGGATGCGATTGGGACAGGAGCCAAACTGAACGGATTGGTAAAACACCTACCTTCAATGTGTAAGCATCATCGTCCTCAGAATTTTCACCAATTTTTCGTGCCAAACCAAAATCTGAAATTTTGCATCGATTTTTCGCATCTAGCAGAATATTTCGAGCCGCCAAATCCTGTATACCATTTGAAACATGAAGAGAGACGGTTTTGGATGAGAAAAAACTTTTAAATCAATTCGTATCCCAGCATTAGAGTACACATAACAATATGCACTTTTGCAGCCATTAGGAAAATTTAATTTTTTTATCTGATACTGATCTGATATTTACATACTACTTTGGGGTAGATTATTGTGGTGGTAAACAGTACCATACGGTAACCTTCCTGATTTTGGGGCTTTCAATTCATGCTGCATTATTGCCTACTATGATTAACTACAATGTTCAGGGGATAATGCTGCCTTGTTTTGCATTCCGTTTAAAGCTCATAGGTTATAACGCGTTTTGCGGAGTATGCCAAATATGAAAGAAAACTCATAATGACGTTTACTATAGTTATATAATGGAAATCAATCTGTAAATAAATCATTATTATTTAACACCGATAAATGACGTAAACACCTTCCGACTACTGTGAAAATTACTATACGCAAAATGTCCCGGATGTGACATTGGAACATTCCTTTCATTTCCTTGGGTCACAAAAATTATACGTGAATGTATATTATAGTACCTTATACGAAAAGCGAGTGTACAGACCAGCGTGATGAAAATTAAAATAAATATATTATTTAAATACAACCCAAAACTCCAGTGGTTTTCGGGATTGGATGATAACAACATCGACAACGTTTCTAACTGAAAAACATTGTAAGCGAAACTGTTTTCAAATAGCTTTAAGCCAAGCAGCGATCTCTGAATCAGGGACTGCCCAGGATTTTTCCGAAACGAATCAGGAAAAGGCATCTTTAAGACAACCTAAACGGTCAAGATAGTGGTGATACACTGACCAAGAAAAACGAGGTTAATGTATCCTAATAAAGCACACTCCTAGATGAATGAGTCTTAATACGTAAAGCGATCAGTTGCGAAATATATTACAGACATAGTTATTGTGATGGAATCAGGAATGTTTGTGTAAATGAGCTATTAGGAAGTGATTTTACGTTGAGTTACTATTGCAGACACATGCAATTTCACATCGTTCTACATCTACTCGGTAGTCACCATCTTCGTCCTTAAACCATTTTTTTCATTCTTGATTGATCCGGTTTGATGAAAACGCTGTTTGCATTTCTTCGCAATTGAACTGATCTGATGTTCGCTTTGTCAGGGGTAAAACGTTTGAATTTCTTAAAATCGCAGAACTAAAGCGTTCAGCCAGACCAAATATGTTTCTTCACAATCCGATTAGTTCAGCTTGCAACAAGTGAAAACTGTGACCTGATTTTCACGATCAGCGAGCGGTCAACACAAAGCTACTGACTTTCAACGCCACAAGCAAACAAAAACGACTCAGCTCTGTGTATATGCACGGGTTTGTGAGTTGTGATCGACCATTGCCATTTGCTCCAGTGCAACTCAATCGCAACTGAAAATTCCACTCAGCGTTGTGTTTGGTCTTAGCGAATCACCAGGTAGTGTTTGCATGTGCTCATCAGTAGGCTCGAGGATTGCGCTCGTGCATCTCTGCAGCTGTTCCTTTTCGAGTACTTAGTATACGTACAGGCGCAGGGCACAGTTGATCATTAGCAAAATCACATCACTGAGTGCCTTCCTCCTGAAAGTGATTATTGAACCGGCTTATGTTCTGTTCAGCGATTTGCCTGTCAGAATGTCAACGATACGGTGGCTCATTTTTACTCTTGTCCTCTAGCTGTTGTAAGTTTTTCACTAATTTGTTTCACTCTTTCTTTTATTGAATAAAAAAATGATCTTAACATGGTGGTCCAGTTTAATTGTTCCATCCATCATAAAGCTCCCAACGCGAGAATGTTTTGGTTCCTAAGACCACTAATTCCCTGTGATTTGCTTCAATTTCCTGCTACCCGAATTAACGGATATTGGAAGGTAAAAAGCAAATGAGGTGAGGCGTTGTTCGTGTTCTCGGTTCCAAAAGGCATTTCAAACGTACTGGTAAGGTACTTTTGGACGAACAAACTACTATAGGATTGATATTTCAACCGTGTGAGCAGATACATTCACCCAACAGGATCACACATGAGTTAATACATTTCTTTGTTACCCATGCAGTTTTTCGGTATTAACTCTTTTACCTGGATGGCTCGTTGAATTGCTGAAAAACACGTGACACTATGGAACTGAAAAAGTTGAATAGTATTCACATACGCGATGCACGTAACCTTGAGCAGAGATGAACTTCATTCCTTCGCAAATGTCCAGAAGCATTTGCATCAAACCAGAAAGTTCAGTATTTTGTCCGGGACCCTGAAATTAATGAAATATGAACAAGCATGAGTACGATCATATTTTCTACACTTTTTTCGTCTTTCCACATCGGATTTACTATTTTTGTATTCTTTGGTTAATACGAGGATATAACGGAATTGTACGATTTTGAATCCGAAAATTACTTCAACGCGAATGATGGAATCTTTGACAACGGCGTTTTTATTTGTATCCTGCAGCACTGTTACAAACTGCCTGGAGATTGCAGAATCTTTATAAACAAAAGCAGCACTGCTCGCTGTTGCTTGGAATGTGATGCTTAAAATTTTCAGCTAAGGACAGCAAGCTGGTGGTAGTCAAACAAAGTGCGCTGGAAGCATGAAAAACGATCGCAATCGTGCTGCGTCAAGGCACCAGGAGCTGTTATGTAGGCCGTTATTTTGTTCATTTAATAGTTGGTTATACCGGAGTCCTTCTTGGTCACGCTTTTTTGTTGTTTACATGGAACAAACTCAAGGTGACTACGATCATCAAACACCATCGTCATGAATAGAGTATATCCAAGGTCAATCAAACAAGTGCGTTGAATTCGCAGCACATGATACGACTCTGTGTTTCCTAAAATCACTGAATGATTGCATAGTACAGGCTTGACCATTGGGTAAAAGATATGAAACACTGGCATTGATTTGATATGAATTTGACATAGAATTTGAATGCACTTTAAGTGAGACAAACTTTCCTTAAATCGCGTTCAGCTGTGTACTTGAAGTAAACGCTTTTGTATACACTCATTCCGAAAATGGTCTTTCGATTCAAAAGATCTGCTTTCAATGGTAAGTTCCACTCTGTCATCAATAAACCTGATCGTGTTATTGCGCTTGTATAGTAAATGAAAATTTTATAAATTGCTGCATGTTCATGACTCATCCGATGATTTTCTCAAAATAGTTGAAAACATCAGAAACCACAAGGCAATAACTTACCTTCTTTTCATACTTCAACCAATTTGCGAATTTGTAAGACCTGTTGCTAGATGGAGCTTATCAAAGTCGTTGATTTCTTAAAGTTCAACCGAAAGATTGAATATTTTAGCTTACATTGAAGGACAATCACATGATTACATGGCAAACACGCAAGTTCCATAGCCTCCTGATGCAACTATCGTGTTCGCGATCACCTTGCACTTGGAAACGTTAATCGGGGAAGAGAAATTTCTAGACCAATAATTTTTATGGTATTATAATCTATTTTTCGATCAGATAAGAAAACCGGCTCCTGTCTTATCATTCTCTGACGAAAAAAACACTATTTTAAAATTATTGCAATTACAGTTCCCCTGCAGTTTGACAAGCTTACGTCTCTTCCATGAAACGCTTTTTGCCTTAATCGTGGTACACGTTCCAGAAATGACATTACATTCAAAAGTAATGCAAAATAGGGATCTTGGTTAGGGCGTGAAACGTTACATCTTGAGGAAAGTGGTCCAATCCGTTGTTTGAATTGGTGCCGAGTGTCTAATTTACTCTGATACTTCAAATCCAACTTAGGAAAATGGCGCCACCCGTATTTGAAATTGAAACCATCGATTTATATTTTAGTCTTTTTGAATGATCATTCAACAAAGCCGTTTACATTTACCGGATAATGCGTTTCAGATTCGAGGAATAACTCCCCGACACGGCTGAAATCAGCAAAGATATTTTTGTTCTGTTTCTTCCGCCATTTCGCGGGTTTAACTAGCTCAGGGAGGATTTGTCTTGTATTTAGCAAATGAAGCGTGAACTGAAAAGCCAGGAATTACTGTATAGCTGTTTGGACCTGATTGGGTTTCATCAGCAGTGCGAATCCAACTGGGGAGTGAACCCGGAACGTCAACGGCAGAACAAAGCATGCTACTCAATCGCTCACGAAGCACCTGATCAGACCGTTGAAGAACTGTAAAGTATACTCCTGTGTTCCAGTGTGTGTGCCAACGAAGAGATTCACTGTAGAAGCGTGAAGAATAATGTCTTCAAACAAAAGATAGAAGGCTTTTCACCATATGAAGCAAACCACAGAGCCACATACATTATTATATTTCTATTTTCTCGGACGGATTTCAAAAATACAAACTACAACATTTACTCTACTTAAGAAATAGGGCTCTGAGTTTACCAATTAAAATACTGAACAACCGCTGGATCGCCTCTAATCTACCAGTTACTCATAATCCAAGAGCGAGAGAGAGTGAATACTTAAAAACATATTGCAGGCCCCATTGAGCCCTTCATATATATGAGGTGAACTCTTTTCAACCTATTCCTTCAATATCTTACATCTCTCATATTTTGTTATGTTCGATCTGCGTTCTTACTTGGTGGGCTTAACTCATACGACAAACAAAACTGTATACCAATCATTATTCGATACCGATACAAAGATGTCGCCAAGATTCGTTTTACTCATGCCACTTTTTATTCTTTGTTAGCATTATTCTTGTAACAATAACATTTTAGAATGGCCTTCATCCCCGGTAAGAAGCACATTTAAATGAAAGTCATTTTTGGCATTCAAAGCAAACATTACTCATTTTACTTCTGAAAGTTACTGACAAATATAAACAAACCTGTGGTTGTGCTGGCTATCGTGAACGGTTCCAAAAGGCTCATTCCATTATAAACGATGGAGAGCAACGGATAATTTTTTTCTGTTTGTTATTTTTACTCCCACAAGTTATGGATGTGTGAGAAAACGGTATACGAGATAAAGGAGACGAAAGGTTATTATTTCAATTGGAACAGGTCGAGGCGGGGGAGGGAGAAACACGATAAGCGGACTGTAGGACTGGGTTGCAATAGAGGATTGTGTAGCTGTAAAGGGTGACGTGTGGGGCCGGCGTAAGGGTGGAGGAGGTTAACTGATGCTGAACAGCTGCTCGGTAGGTCTGATGATCATCCAAATCCACTAGAATTCTTGTTCTAGAAATCTGTATGTAAAGATTATTTAGGCCTTATGTTTGTTTTATATATATGTTTCGTAAGGTGAGTTCAAGTTTGATCACCTCGGATTTACTGTTCCAGTTTTCTTTGACAGCCTGTTGTTGCTGTTGTCAGTTGCAACCTGCTTCCCGGTTATCAAGGCCTAGTTATTTGATACTAAACTAATGAAAATAAATGGTTATTCTTATCATTATGATTTATGTCTTGTCAATAACTGTCACCCAGTGATCTTCTAAATTTGTCAGTGCTTGGTTTAGTTCAGTGATTGAAAATAGGTAGCTAAAAATTTTGCCAATCTAGGGGGGCAAACCTCTCACCTGCAGATAACGATCGAGTGATCCTTTTTCCATAAATTCCAAAATAATCATTTGCGGTNTGCGGTTCCGATTTGGTCACCACGCCGAGAAGGACGACAATATTCGGATGTTGCAATTTCTGCATGGTGTGTACCTCTTTTAGGAAATCCTGTTTCGCTTTATCTGGCACATCGAGACGCAACATTTTCACTGCCACAAGGCAGTTTGACCCGAGCACACCGGAACAAACTTCACCAAATTCACCTGTTTTTGAGACAATAATATACCAGAACACTTAAAAATATATATATGTGATTTTAATGCATTAATAAATGGATATTGTCATCTAGGGACACAGTGAATGCCTCCATTTTCTACTTTTTTTCCTTTTCGCTCCCTTCTACTGAATACATAACGACACAGTTTTCAGGAAAGAGAAAGCAGTCGAGCAAAGGTCTGCCATAGAACCACACAGAGAATGGGTTTGTTTGGCAGTTGTGGTGGGATTCCTCCGGGGTGATGAGTTGGGGCTCTGTTCCAAAGAACTTTTCCGACTGAATACATTTCATTCGCAATCGAGTTGTGCCTTTGGCCACTGTAAACGATTACCGCATGACATATCTGGCCCACCGTTTATGATGATTATAAAGTTGAAAATAATGACCTATATAAAAAGTGAAAATTAATATATCCGTGCACTCAAGTTGTCAAACATCTCCTGTGTATGAGCCTATGAGTTGAAAAGCGGTCTGCAATCCGAAGACTTCCGGTTTGAGTCTGGTTATAGTAGTGCCAACAGTATGGTCCAAATATAGATCTTGTGCACTTTGTTAGTCATTGCTCAAAAATATGCATTGCAATGAAAAATTCATTCCGCATATGAGTTGAACGACCCCCAAAAACGATGATCTGATCACTGAAAAAGCACTCGACTTGTTCCGTATCCAATCAAACGTGCTTTGGCGTTGTAAACTTTGCTAACTATCTTCAAAAATGGCGCAAGGGTGAGACCTTTGCGCTTATGAGATTGGAGGACGAAAAGGTCAGCTTCGGGAAGTCTTTTGTCGTTATCGTTTGGATGAACAAACATCGTCAGAGAATTAATATTTGTACCTAAATTGTCAGATCAATGGTGATTTTTAAAGCGTTCTTAAATTTACTACTAATAAAATTATGCATATGGATGCACTCAGTCAAGCTTAAGGGATCGAGTTAAACACACTTTGAATGTTTATTCAGTCTTTCCTTCTTGGTTTGACATGTTACGATTCAAAGTACAATCGAAGGACCCACCTTCTCCGATAGTTTTATCAATCTTCAACTGCTTTGGATCAATCTCACGTGTCACGTTCGATTTGGTATTGTGGCCGTTGGACAGTCCGTTTTTAGAGGAATGTCCCGACAAATTTCCGGAGGTGGCGTCTTTCACGTCCTGTTCGTCAGTGGCAGGTGAATTTGGTTCATCTGGAAAAAGGTTCAGAAAACCAAACCATGTATGGAGTGACTAAATCGTTTCAGTCTAGGGAGATGAATGGGGTGAATGGATAAGAAACGACTGGCTATAAAGAAAAACGGCAGCAAACAGAAGCGAGGGTGAATGTAATGATCTATTGTTCGCTCACCTCACAGATGCATCGCAGTTATCTTGAGTAGGTTGCAAAACAAAGCCATCGGTTACTTTCTTATTATTCAGTACTGTTGCTATAAATGGTATCCATTTGAAAGTGATGTACATGTAAACCGGATCGGATTTGGTATTATGAAGAGTACGAGAAACAAAATTCAGATCTTTGGAAGACGAGATAATGTACCACACATGTACTTGAAAGAAATGTGATATGGAACGAGGGAACACATTTACTGATATTAGCATTTGGCGTGTGCAGGTAAACTACCAGCATCCATGCCTCTTTAAGCCAAGTAAACATGCATAAGTGTGAGTGGAACGTCACACAATAAATTAATTTTCAGATAATTCTCCGCGTATGATCTAACCCTTCAGACATGTGTTTGTAAATACTGAATAGTGGTATCGTTCATCCAAATGTTTTATCCTCGGAATATCATGATATGTAGCGTGGCTCCAAATGTAACTAGAATCGATATAATGTGAATTTTGATAACTTTAATTCCCAAAGGCTCTCTGCATTCTGTGAGAATCCAGCAGCATCATTTGAATAACAGAACACTGTGCCCCGATTATGGCGTCCGGTTTGAGTGAAACCAGCTCATCCAGACCCACTTCATCAACCGCCATTCGCTCACAATTCTATTCTATTTATAAAGAAAAATATTATTCACAACAACAATCCAGTGCACTCTGTTTAGCTAAACCGATTATCTGAAAAGCTCACAAAAAGATCAGGTAACTAAGGGCACTTGAGACCACGTTCAGTTGGGTAAATGAATATCTTAGATTTGTGGATGTAGGATCATTATACTGTTTGTCGCAGAATTTTGTTTTATCTGGGATAGAGAAGTACGCGATTCTTGTGTTTCTCTTGGTTATGGAGAGGAACCGAAATACCGTTAGGACCAGACATTTTTAATGTGATCAATTTCTTGGTTAACATTACAAAAGCCAAATGAAATGTTTTTTAATCCAAACATAAATATGGGGAACTATGGGCATCACGTCCTGTCACAACAGATCAAGGGATTATAAATCTTGGTTTCATTTGATCTTTTCTTCTCACAATTCTGACTTGTCAAACACAGTAATATCGGCTGAAAATGACATAATTCCGTGGCCTTGCCATACGGAACATTTGGTCAATTATTCAATATCTTTGTGTTTTCGAAACCACTCTGGTGAGGCCATAAATGTGGTTCGAGAATAGGTGAAATGGATATGTGCATTGATTTTGTCACCGTAGGAGCATTACAATACACGCACTGCAAAACAATACAATGCATGGAAAATGTAGAACAGTTATCTAGCTGATCAGATAGAATGGTGAACAACAAAGCACGCGGGTCCCTCGAGTCTATCATGAGATGAACTGTTATACCACAAAGGTCAGCGCTCTGAATGTACCTATTCTTGAAATTTTACCGAAGATTTTAGGGGGGAAAATTCGCTTACACTACCCCCCCCCCCAGATCATTTGACAAATTATCCCATTTGTTCGAGTTTCTGAATAAAAGTGTTAATTACACGAGAACAATCGAGCTGCGTGTAAGATTGAGATCAATATTTAAAAAGTATGATAGATAATGATAAACACATCTGCTTGATTCTGAGCTTCGTGTGCACACATTTTCGTTAAGTCCATAGCTGAACTAGACTCCATTTTTTAGGGACTGAGTTGTGGGTGTAATAGATTATTGAATCTCACTGGGAGTAATTACAATCTGACATGATATATTAGCTTTCGTTGAATGTCAACGATGAGTAGAACTACTGATTTGCTACTGTAGACTACGGGCTCTGAAACGGCCATGTTACTGAGCCGATAAACTGACCAAACACAGTTCGGAGTGTGATTCTCTTCGTGTTCTCAAAATCAGTAATCAAATAGTATTTTGAGGTTGTATGAGTCGATCAATTTCATCGAAACGAAACAACCATTCTAATTGGGGTCAGTAGTTTACTTGGAATAATTTAGATCATTGAGTTTACCAATATGTATTTAACACTCCGTGTACTTATCCCATTTGCCTTCCGGATTGATTTACGCTCATTTGTCCTTTTAGTGGCATAACAAGTAACAAATTATTCAAGCTTTTATAGTTCCTAATTGTTTCCTTAAACACTTCATTTGGTTTTACGCTTCATCTGTTTCTAGATACGCGCAGAATCCATCCTATCTTGCATGAACTAGGGAGTGGGGCAGGATTGAATAGCAACTCAGAATGAATATGATGGATGTGTGTCCATCATACTCCCTGGAAGACCTATTTCGCAATCATTCAGAAAATATAGGGCATATCTGTTGTGAATGTAGTACTAGATAGTCTGCACTATCGATATGCAATTACGATTCGGTAGCAAGATCTATCGTTGGATGGAAGAGATGCAGCATTAAGGAACCTGTTTGCTGAAATATTTGTGACCAGTCGAGAAACTTGCCCACCTAAACGTACGTCTACAAATTGCATAATGGAATTAATACTCGTGGGCGCGTGTGCTAGCTTCTGGTTAAGAGAACGGGTAGAGAACAAGCGGGTTTTGTCATTGTCACATTAACTCGGGTTTGTCCAAACTTCTCTGTATCGCACGAGTGCATTCCAATTTGGCAGTTAAAGTTTATGCTCTTAAAACTAAATGTATGATCATTTATTCGACACAAAAAAGCAAAGGAATAAATGAAAGGAAAATAGATTGTTCGGTAATACCTAGATTTTCGGCAACCTCGTCTGGTCGTTATCAGGACAAAGCGACTCGATACGCATGCACAGTCAATATGACAAGGGAACAGAGGCCATACTCAGGTCATCATGAAAGGTCAACGTGTCACTGACTGGTTTGAAATTGCATATTTATGTATGTGTGTGTGTGTGCGAAACTGTGTGAATGCACCTACGATCGCTCGTTACTGGGTACCCGTCTGCCCGTCTGGCATGTCGTAAGCTCAGTCATACACTTGACAGTGTTTGATTATCGTTTCGATTCACACAACCGAGGGCGGGATTGATTCAGAGCGACTCCGCATTTTAACTCCTGCCATCTGGTTCAAATCACCTAATCAAAATCATACTTACCCTCCTCAACACAGCAAAAATTGTCTGTTCCAATGACAAACTGGGAGAGGAGGAATTCAGGAAGATCAGGAACACTCTTTCATTAAAAAGGAACACGCATCACAACTCTGATTGATAGAACACTCACTTGAATACAGCGAGAGCAAAACACAGAGCATTCCCATAACCCAAGTGTACATATCCATTACCGGGAACAAGCATCGGAATCTACTCTACGATTTCATTCGTAATGTCATTAAACCTGACATTTTATTATTCATTATTATTTCACAACAATAGATGACAAGTTGACCTTTCACGATTACCTGCGTTTGACTTCTTTTTTCTTATTATACTGATTCTGATGGGTTCCGTTAAGTAGTGCATAACGTTTGCTCATCAGTTTCATCATTCACAAGTTTTTAATTAATGCCAGATATAAGGAGCAAGCTGTTCGAGCACGTTCGTACAGAATATGGTAGGGATATGACCAAATTGTATTTTGCGCACCTCTTGAATCAGTTCAGTGATTCACTGCAAACTTTAGAATATACGCTGGAAACTGAAGCAAACAATAATCCATGATACAAATGCTTGGCCATCCTGCCATAATGACAGGTCTACCAAACGGATAGTCTCAGGACGGGGTGTGTAGTGAACAGTATATACAGTTGAGGTAAAGAATGCTCCAACCAAATGTTCCAAAAACTTCGCAAACGAATTTATACAGGATGGCAATCTTCGTCATGACCGACAAAGAGCACTAGAGGGCCGTTTCGTTCGGTTTAAGACTCGTCAGTTGTGCGTACTTTTAGTATCCATGACAGGAATCGAACCGTGCTAATTCAGGTTGGCAGTTCAATTCAAACATGATATTATCAATTACCAAATGAATGTTCACAGAGGAGAAAGTCATTGGTACACTCTGAAATGTGAGTCATACCTTCTTTTTAAACGGCACGAAGAATTCGCAGTGAACTCTGTGATGAGATGAGCCGCTGCCGAAGATAATTGCAACTGGGCAAAAGCAGTACACATCAGACAACTATTGGGAATGACACTTTGACAGAGGTTGTTAATATGAGGCTATCTTCTACCGGCACTCAAATGTTCCCCGTAGCGAAGCTCCGATCTGAGTCCACATTCAATCCATTAGCGGTTAACACATCGATTGCCGGACTCTGCTGCCGATGCAGTCATTCACTCACTTGTTCATATATCGGCAACACAACTAGATGTTTATCTGACCTCATCAATGTGCACCAACCCGTTTAACCAATATGCAAGTTAACTGCGCCGATCACACAGGCTGGGATCATGCACAGCCTCGTGGTCAATCAAACCTGTAATATAGATGAAGTGCTCTCGTCCCACCCTTCACAAATTTTTAAGTTTAGAAGGTTTCTTGTTCGAGCGTCGTGGAAGGTAGTTGTTGTCTTTTCAGAAATCCCCTATGTGCGCTTTAAAGGAATTTGTGTAAGAACTTGCCCCTGATTGCTGACAGGTAACACGCCTTGACTGAAGCACTCGAACAGATAAGTAAATGCTCTGATTGAGACCCAAATCTAAAGTGGAGAATAGCTATAACCCGATTTTGAACATTCAATCCCCCCTCACCCTGGCATACACTGCATAGAAATATATGAAGTATTGGAATGATATTGTTATAAGACATATAGAACGAACTGGACTGCTAATGCTCGTATGGTATGCTCTGTGGGACTGTCCAGAAGTTTTTAACCATTGACGTGACACAAACTACAATTGACAGGAATATTAAC